CTCACTGTCACGGAGTCGGTGCGGAGGCTTCGTGGTCATCGGCCACGCGGCCGGGACATGGATTGACAAAATGGGGTCCCCTTGGGAGAGGAAGCGGGGGAGTTTATTTGATCGGAGTCTCGGCGGAATGGCAAATCGTGCCCCCATCCTCTATGGCCGGCCGGGAAGACAATTGAATGTCACGGAGTCGGTGCCGGGGATTACCGGCGCATTCTAGGTAGAATGGAAAATAGCACCGAGGAGTGTTAATAAATTTTGCCCCCCCCTCTCTGGCCGGCGAGGGGGGGGAAGCCAAATGCCGCGGAGTCGGCGTGGAGGAATGCCGACGAAATCCCCGTGCAAGCAAGGTTCTCACCGGCAGAAGTCACCTCCAGCGGGATCACAGATTCACCCCAGCAGCTGAGGATATAAGGAGGTTCGCGGATATGGGCACTTGGGGGGCAGGATTTGTCCGGCTCCGTCTGGCCGTAACGGTCTGGATCGTTACGGCTTTCTGTCTCGAAGTCCATTTTCGGTGCACCGGTCCATCCATGCAAGCGCAACGAATTCGGGAGCCGAATTTCGTGACATTTTCGTTGCGTCGAACATTTGGGCATGAGGGTAGACACCGGAGGGCCCCGCCATGCCAGAACAAAGTGTGGCCGTTTTCATGCCTGGCAAAAGCTCTCGGGAATCTGAGGGGGTACAAACATCTTGGGAGGTATGGGGGATGAGCTGGGATTGAGCCAGTCCGTACGTCAAGCGAGGCACGAGAAGCCACAGCAGCCTCCCTGGATGAGGTAATGCCGACGCTTTTTATCTTCCTTCGTAGTCATGCATGCATGACTGTGTTTTCACTTGTTCACGTGTTCACAGCGGGGATTTTCTTCGAGGAAGCGGCGTCGAGGAGGAGGAGGAGGAGGAGGAGCAAAAGGAGGAGATCTTCCAGAAGTGGGAGAGATAGAACGGGGAAGAGGTGGTGGAAGAGGAGGACGACGACGAGGAGGGGGCCAGAACAGGTGGATGACGATATGATGATGATAATGGTGATGATGACGACGACGTGGACGAAGAAGAAACGTCGACGAAGACGTCGATTACGACGACGGTTACGATGGCGATTCTATTATTTATGATGATGATTTGACGACGAAGATGATCATGATGAAGACGACGACGATGAGGATGATGATGACGACGATGATGATGATTACGATGATGATGATGATGATGATGATGATGATGATGATGATGATGATGATGATGATGATGGTAATGCTGATGATGATTATGATAATGTTGCTGCTGATGATGATGATGACGATGCTGATGATGACGATGATGATGATGATGATGATGATGTTGATGCCGATGTTGATGACGACGACGACGATGACGATGACGATGACGATGACGATGATGATGATGATGATGATGATGATGATGATGATGATGATGATGATGATGACGACGAAGACGATGATGACGATGATGTTGTGCCTAGCTAGAACCTAAGCGCGCGCGAAGCGCGCGCGTGGTTCTAGTATATATTTATATGTGTATACACACACACAAAAAAGTGTATTGGCGCTTCGCGCCATGCGCCTTGTTCCGGACTCCCCTGGAAAAGCAATCAATCATCGCTTGCTTCAGCAGGGGGACCTCGAGGCCTGGACGTGCGACCGTTTCATTTTTCTGATATCCCTGGTGCCTGCTGACACTGCGTTCGCCCGATGCGCTTGCACGCTTGTGCGCAGGAGTGTGGAAGGAATGCTTGTTTTTTTTTCACGCGCGAAGGTCCTTTGAGGAACCACCGGGTTTTCCCATGACACGCCGAAGCAGTCGCAGTAGCTCCGGACAAGTCGATGTTGGGTCGCTTCGTGAATGCCTGGGGGGCCCCAGGTACTCAGCAGGAAATTCTCGATCATCGAATTTTGAATCTAGATCCATTGCCTGTCTCTCTCGATCGAGGAACTTACACCTCGAGCCTCAAGCGTGGAACCAAGATCGTCGGGTCAGCCCGATGTACCTCGCAAGAGAACGCCGTCTGGGCGTTTTTGGGGCTCTTTCGGGCCGTCCTGGGGCCCCCATCGGGCCGTCCTGGGGCCTTCTTGGGCCGTCTTGGGGAGTTCGAGCCCTCCACAGGTCTTCTGAAACCACCTAGAGCCATTTGGGGGGCCTCCAGTGGCCATCTTGGGGGTCCCCCATGGCTTTCGTGGGTCTCTTGGGGGCCTTCTGGGGGCATCTTGGGTTTTTAGTGGGCAGTCCTGGGGCTCTCTGGGGCAGTTTTGGGGGGACCGTCTTCAAACCCTCTGGGGGGCCTCCTGGGCCGTCTTGGGCGAGGCGGGGGCGATATCGGGGGCCATCGGGCCGTATTGGACGCTACGCCTGCGAAAAAACGAAAAAGGATATGCTACATATCTACATTTTCTTACGGGAATGGGCGATGTTTGCTTTGTTTTTTTTTTTTTTTTTTTTTTTTTTTTTTTTTTTTTTTTTTTTTTTTTTTTTTTTTTTTTTTTTTTTTTTTTTTTTTTTTTTTTTTTTTTTTTTTTTGTTTTTTATTATTTTTTTTTTTTCTTTTTTTTTTTTTTTTTTTTTTTTTTTTTTTTTTTTTTTTTTTTTTTTTTTTTTCTTTTTTTTTTTTTCCTTTTTTTTTTTTTTTTTTTTTGTTTTTTTTTTTTTCTTGTTTTTTTTTTTTTTTTTTTTTTTTTTTTTTTTGCTTCTTCCGGGCTCTCTCAACGGCCTCTTTGGGCGTGGGGCCTCTTGGGCCGTCTTCAGACCAACGAGGTTCCTCTTGGAGCGCTTTTGTGCTGTCATGGGTCTCTCTTGCGCCTCTCTGATGACCTCTCTGATCGCCTTGAGTCTGTTCGCAAGGCCCAGCAGGGCCAGTGGAACTTTTCCAAAGGCGTCCAGGGGGCCGCCGAGACGTCCGAAAGGCCGTCCGGGCCGTCCCTGGGGGGTGTCCTGCTTAGAAAGGGGGGGGGTCGGGCAATCCAAAGAATAAAGAACATGATACTATACATATATTCATAGATACATACACATATACGCATATGCATAGACATGTACATATACAAATACAAATGCACATACACATACAAATGCAAACACAAATGCACATGCATGTGCATGTGCATACGTGTCTATATGTACATACATATGTGTATCCATGTATGTATGTGTCTACATATGTACAATGGCATTTACACAGAGATATACACACATCGATGTGTAGCTATATGTATATATATATACACCTGTATGTCTGTGCTCCCCCTCCCCATCCTCCGTCCGTCCTCCTCTCTCCCTCTCTCTCTGTCTCTCCTCCTCCCCGTCCCCCTCCCTCCTCCTTCCCTTCTCCCTCATTCCCCCTCCCTCTCCCCCTCATTCCCCTCCTCCCTCCCTGCATCTGCCTCCCCCTCCCCCACTTCCACCCGCCTCCCTCTCCCCCCCTAATTCCCCCACCCCCCCCCTTCTCTCCCCCCCCCTCATTCCCCCCCCCCCCCCTCCCTCTCCTTCCCCCTCTGTCCCCTCCCTCCGCCCTCCCCTCCGCGTCGCTGCCCCCCTCCTCGTCGCGCTGCCGCCCTCCCCGCGCGGGGGCGGGGCGCTGCCCGGCCGGCCGGGAGCCAGGCCCCGCAGCCGGGCGCTGTGGCCGGCGAGGTGCGGCCGGACTTGCGGGAGCGGGCGCCCGTCGTCGTGGTGGTCGTCCGCGGTCGTCGTCGTGATCGTCGTCGTGATCGTCGTGATCGTCGTCGTCGTCGTCGTCGTGATCGTCGTCGTCGTCGTTCCTCCTTCTCTTCCTTCATTCTTACGGTTTCGTTTATCCTTTCTCCTCCTCCTCCTCCGCCTCCTCCTCCTGCTCCTCCTCCTCCTCCTCCTCGTCTTCCTGGGCAAAGGCGCCCCAAAGCAGTATGACTTCAAGATCCTTATCCTCCTCCTCCTCCTCCGCCTCCTCCTCCTCATCCTCCTACTTACTAGTCTTTGGGTACGAGGAGGAGGAAGAGGAGGAGGAGGAGGAGGAGGAGGAGGAGGAGGAGGAGGTTCAGGAAGAGGAGGGGTAGGATGAGGGGGAGAAGACCCTCGCAGAGATGAACCAGTCCGACGATGCGCAGGAGGAGCAGCAGCACGAGCTGGAAGCTTGAGCGGGAGCAGAGGCAGAAGGATGGAGCAGCGTCCTTCCCGCCCTCCCTCCTCCGACCCACCCTCCCTCTATCCGACCCTCTTCCGCCCCTCCCCTCCCTCCCTCCCTCCCTCGATCCCCTCCCTCCGACCCTCCTTCCTCCTTCCTCCTTCCTTCCGTCCCACCCCCCTCCTGCCTGCTTCCCCTCCCGCCTTTCTCCCCAGCCCCTGCCAGGATATAGCCACCTGCCAGGCTGACGAAGTGGTCCCGCAGAAAGGGCGCGCGCACAGGTTTTGTCGAGAGCCTGGGCCTCTCGGCCTCTCTCCTCCCTGCTCCCCTGCATTGGGCGTTCAATCCCCCCCTCGCCCCTTCCTCCCCGCGTTTGTTCTTCTCCCATCTCAAGGTGCAACTCCTGGGAGGCGAAATTCAGCACCGGCGCCGGTATACCTGTGGGCGGGAACCGGCCTAATCCAGGACTCTCCCGCGGAATCTGCTTCTTGCAGCTTGATCTTGGGCTTCACCTGGCTTCATTCAGCTGAATGGTTTTCTTGCACAAGGTGTAGGAGCCCTCCATCGCTCTTGCGACAACCTCCCAGGAGTTCCCTCCCAACCCTTCCTCACCCCCTCACTTGCCCCCCTCCCTCTGACCTCTCCCCCCCTATCTCCGACCTGTCCCTCCCTCCGACCTCCCCCCTCTCTCCGACCTCTCCCCTCTGCTCCCCTGCAGGGGCGTGCGCTCCCTCCCTCGTCCCTTCTTGCCCCCCTCCCCCGACCCTCCATCCGCTCCCCCCCCCCCCCCCCCTCCCTCCCTCTGACCCCTCCCACACCCCCTCCTGCATGACCCCCTCTCTCCCCAGACTGCCTGGGGAGGAAGCCCCCCCCCGCCCCCTCGGCCAGAGGAGCAGGCCCAGCTGGCGGAGTTCATGCTCCAGCGCATCAGCCGCGCCGTCGGCATGCTGCGGCCAAGAGAGGTGCCCTCAGCAGAAGGAGCTCGGGGGGGCCATCACGCCTCTCCAAGGGAGGAGGGGGGAGAAGGTGAACGGTGGAAGGAGAAGGTTGGAGGATTAGTAGGAGGAGGTGGAAGAGGAGGAGGCGGAGGAGGAGGAGGAGCAGCAGCAGCAGCATAGGGAGGAGAAGGAGGAGGGGGATGAGGAGGGATGAGGAGGGATGAGGGAGAAGGATGGGAGGAGTAGGAGGAGGAGGAGGAGGAGGAGGAGGAGGAGAAGCAGGAGGGGAGAAGGAGCAGGAGGAGGAGGAGGAGGAAGAGGGAGGAGGAGGAGGAGGAGGAGCAGGAGGAGGGACAGGAGGAGGAGAAGGAGCAGGAGGAGGAGGAGGAGGAGGAGGAGGAGCAGCATAGGGAGGAGGAGAAGAAGGAGGAGGAGGAGGAGGGATGATGATGCTTCTGCTGTTGGTTATGATGGTGATGATGCTGATGATGCTGATGATGATGATGATGATGCTGATGATGCTGATGATGCTGGTGATGGTGATGGTGATGATGATGATGCTGCTGATGATGATAATGATGATGATGCTGATGATGATGATGATGATGATGATGATGATGATGATGATGATGATGGTGATGATGCTGATGATGACGATGATTGCTGATGATCGGATGATGATGAGGCTGATGCTGCTGCTGCTGATGACGGTGATGCTGATGATGCTGATGATGATGCTGGTGCTGATGCTGATGAGAGGTGCTGATGATGGTGGTGCGTGGTGTGATGATGATGATGATGGTGATGGTGATGGGTTGATGATGATGATGCTGGAGATGATGATGATGCTGATGATGATTGATGCTGATGCTGATGATGATGGATGCTGATGATGATGATGATGATGATGATGATGTGATTGATGATGATGATTGATGAGGAGGAGGGAGGAGGAGGACGGCGAGGAGGAGGAGGAGGAGGGGGAGGGGGGAGGAGGGAGGAGGAGGAGGAGGAAGAAGAGGAGGGGGAGGAGGAGGAGAGGATGGAGGAGGAGGAGGAAGGAGGAGGATGGGAGGAGGAGGCCAATGAGGAGGGAGGAGGAGCAGGAGGAGGAGGAGGAGGAGGAAAGGAAGAGGAATGAGGCGGAGGAGGAGCAGGATGAAGAAGGAGGCAAGGAGGAGGAGGAACAGGAGTGAGGAGGAGGAGAGGAGGAGGAGGAGGAGGAGTGAGGAGGAGGAGGAGGAGGAGGGAGGAGGAGGAGGAGGAGGAGGCGGAGGAGAGGGAGCAGGAAGGAGGAGGAGGAGGAGGAGGAGGAGGAGGAGCAAGGAGGAGGATGAGGGAGGAGCAGGAGGAGGAGAAAGAGGGAGGAGGGGGAGAAGGAAAGGTTGTTCCCTCCGCCTGCAGAAATGGCTCGCTGGCTACCCTCCGCCAGACGGCCGACACCCTTCGGTCCTTTTTCCTCCCTCCCCCTCTCCCCCCTTATTCCAGTGCCTCATCTCCCCGTTCGCCCCTGCCTCCCCCCTCCTGGAGTGTTTCGGGTGATCTCGTGGTCACTGTGGTTCTTTTGGGGGGGGGCACCTGGGCCCGCTGGAGGGCCCTCCCGGGGCCAACCCCTGTCGGCACCCTTGGGGTCTCGCGGGCCGTCGTTGCGGTCCTCCCGGGCTCTGCCTTTCCGTGTGCGGCGGCAGGGCGGGGAACGTGGCGTTCTCGCCTTCCCCCCCCCCCGCGTCCCCCTCCCACTGTCCCCCTCCCCCCCTCCCGTCCCCGCCCTCGATTAAGGGGGCGAAGAGCAGTATAAAATAAACTGCTCCGCCGTCGGGGGCGCCTGCCCCCCAGGCGGCTGCAAAGTTTATACTTACCCCTACGGTGCCACGTAGGGGTATAAATTTTCGAGCCGCCCGGGGGGCAGGCGTCCCCGACGTCGGAAAAGTTTGTTTTACACCTTTCTTCGCCCCCTAAATCGTTGCCCAAGGGCCCCGCCCGCCATTGTCGACACGACTCCTGGCCATTCGCCCGATCGCTCGCCCCCCCCTCGGAAGGGCACCAGCTGACCACCTCGCCGACCCTGCCGGGGCGCATCCTGCACCCCGGGGAAGGCGCCCGGCCAGGATGGGCTTGGCATTGGGTTGACGTCCCCCGTAGATGAGCAAGCGCGACGACGAAGACGACGGCGACGACGCCGACGCCGACGCCGACGACGACGACGACGACGACGACGACGACGACGACGACGCCGTTCCGCTGCTGCTACTGCTCAGTCGTCCCGCTCTCCGCTGGCGGAGGGGGGGAAAGGGGGGAGGCAAGCTAGGTGCGCTCGCGCAGTATCTGACGTCCTACCCATCCCCATCCCTTATCATGGCGTATATTTCCTCTCTATTGAAGAGCGCGGCAGAGCGTAGCATGCCATAGCATGGTGTGGCATTGCGCAGTGAAGCATTGCATCACAAAGCATTGCAGCGTAAATCATGGCATCGCACAGGGGCGCAGAGCACAACACCGCACAGCATGTCATGGCATGACGCCAGGTTCTTTGGAGGCAAGGTGGACCGTCTTCGAGAGGTCTGCGCCGGTCTGACGTCGTGGCTCCATGTCTGCCTCCTTGGGCTTCCCGAAAGCTCCACACAAGGTGGGGCTGATGGAGAGCACCCGCTGGCTCTGCTTCCAACATCGCCTTCTCAATGCAGAAACGGGCTCCCGCTTGATACTTCCTGAAAGCGACGACGCCCCCAAGTGGGGGGGCTTCTTCGGCCCAAAGTATCAACGAATCGGCACCGAATGTGTCATCACTTCCAATGGTTTTTTCGGGAAGGCGTTTTTTTTATTTTGGGCTGTTTGGAAGGAAGGCCAGCGCTGCAGCGGGAGCACGATTCGGAACGAGCAGAAACGCAGAAATGAGGCCAGCGCTGCAGAGGGAGCACGACTCGGAACGAGCGGAAGCCCGAAAAGGAGGCCAGCGCTTCAGCGGGAGCAACATCTTGAAAAAAACCCAAGCGAAAATTCAGGTGTTGGAAATCTGGTGCGAAAAAAGAAAACCGAACGCGGAGGGGGGCCAGATATCTTCCGGACGTCATGAGGGGAGAGAGAAGAGTAAGATTCATATTGTGTACTTGTGGGGGGGGGATGGGGAGAAGGAGGGGGTCGGGAAGGTGCTCGGCTGACGCCCCCCCTGATCCCTCCCGCGGGGTGTCGAGGATCCCTGTTGCTCCGCGAGTTCACGGACAGGATGGTGGTGGACGTGTGCGCGGACCTGCGGCAGTGGCTCGAGCAACTGGCCGTGCCCCGGGGGTATGGGGCAGGAGGCGCGGGTGAGGGGGTGAGGGCGAGAGGTCGGGGAGAATGGGGTGAGATCCTGGAGGGTGGGAGAAGACTAGGAGGGTGTGTGTGTGCCCGTGGGGTCCCCGTGGCGAGCGGCACCCATGGAATCGGGAGTCAAGGAGGAGTCAAAAGGGTCGCCGTCCCCGCGCTGCGGCCACGGGGGAGGACGGGTCCCCGTGGCGAGCGGCACCCAGGAAGCAAGGATCGCCACCTCCGCGCTGGGGCCACGGGGGAGGGCGGGTCCCCGCGGCGAGCGGCATCCAGGAGTCATGCGCCGAGCCACGAATTTGAACATCTGCGTGCGACATTGAAAAACGTGACCCTTCCTGCAGGAAGGACGGGGCCGAGAGTTCAGGCATCCTCCTTTTCGGACCTGGTCCGAATTTGAGCTGGAATTTGGTCCAGAATCGGCTCCCTTTTGATTAAGACTGGGGTTGAACTGTACACGACACCTTAATGTTTTTCAAATTGGGTCTCCACGGGCGCAGGCCAGGAATAGAAATTTCGGACCTTGGACTCGCCCATCCACCCTCCTAGAAAACGATAGTCGAGCATCGGATTACGAAGCCTCCTCCCGAGAAGCCGGGCCAGCGTTTCTTAACCGAGTTGCCGGAAAACTGGCCCAGGTTCTTGAGCACGGTCGCCCTCCAGCACTGCCAAAAGACATCGGCCAAGGTGTGTGTTAAGACCTTTCTCGGAAGCAGGCCCAGTTTTCTTAACAGATAAGCTGGTTGTTCGTGTTTTCGGCTGTACATCGTTCTACTACTTAGGGCGTCCGTTCTACCACTAGCCTTGGAACCTTTGAACCGCTTAGTGCACCACGGACAGTCGTTCACCACTACGTGTAACCGTTCTACAACCTAGCTGGGTGACCGTTGTGCCGCTTTGAGGGGCGACCGTTCTCCCTTTTTGTCGGGTCACCTTTCTACCACGTAGCCTTCTCTGCCATTGAACACGATTGTGCACTGAACCGGGGGACATGTAAGCGCTATCTTCATCGCAAACACTCTGTAATTCAAACTCTGGCTGGGGCCCGACAAATCATATCTAATACGTCTTGCAGGCTTTGTGTTTGAGCGGTATGTTGTGTTGGTGTTCGGGGCAAGCGCGGACATTCAAGTTTGTGCTCAAGAGATCGGCCTTGTGATTCGAACTCCATCTGGGGCCAGACACATTATATCAAAGATGTGTTCAGGTGTTGTGTCTGAGCGATCCGTGTATCTGGATTGCACGGAACAAATTCAAGTTCCGACTTGACAGTCTTGTGGTTCAAGCTCTGGTGGGGCACGCACGAATTCAGCTGGTACATTGCTCGCAAAGTTTGTGTATGAGTGGTCTGTGTGATTGGTTCTCGGGGCGGCTGGCATGCAAGTAGAACATCAACATTCTGTCTTGAAACAGACAGAGTTTTAATGCAATTTCGCGGGAAAGCCAGACATATGGCAGCGGTCTTGTAATCTGCGGGACGTGGGCAGCAAACTCGAACATCGACATTTCTTTTGCGCGCGAAGATCCTGTCATCCCACTAAACTCACTAGGAACACGATGAAGAAATAGCAAACATTGAACACATGCAAATCTATGAACACACATAGTTCGAGCTATAATTCATATTTTTGGTTGGTGGAGCCTCTGGCATTCCGACAGCAAAAACATCCCAATATATATATATATATGTATACGACCACCCTTCGGTTGATAAGGAGGTTCGGGGGGGGGAGTAACCAACGTCTCGGTCCCACTATCGACATTACTATCGATCTCACTATCGGTCTCGTTGGATCGATCTCACTCGATCGATCTCACAATCGATACCACTCGATCTATTTCATTCGATCGATCTCACAATTGATCTGGCTATCGATCTCACAATCGATCTCACTATTGACCTCACTATCGATCTCAAAATCGATCTCACATTCGGTCTCACTATCGATCTCACTATCGATACCACAATCGATCTCACAATCAACGTCATCATCATCATCAACATCATCGTTATCAACGTCATCAACATCATCACCTCCATGATCATCATCATCGGGACACCATCAGCATCATCAACATCACTTCATCACCATCCTCATCAGCATCATCATCATCACCATCATCATCATCATCATCATCATCATCATCGGGACACCATCATCGTCACCATCATCACTATCATCAACATCATCATCATTGGGACACCATCGTCATCATCACCATCTCATCATCATCATGAACAGCATCATCAACATCATCATCATTGGGACACCATCATCATCAGCAACATCATCATCAACATCATCATCATCATCATCATCATCGGGTCACCATCATCATCGTTACCATCATCATCATCATCATCATCACCATCATCATCGGGACACCATCATCATCAACATCCGCATCATCATTGGGCCACCATCATCAAACTTATCATCATCACTTCAGCATCATCCTCATCATCACCATCATCATCAGCATCAGCATCATCGGGACACAATCATCGTCATCATCAACATCATCATCATCACCACCGGGATACCACCATCATCATCACCATCATCCTCATCAACAGCATCATCATCCACCTCATCATCACCATCAGCATCGGGACACCATCATCATCATTTTCATCATCAGCATCATCATCATCACCATCATCATCTCATCACCATCAACATCATCGGGATCATCAACATCACCAGCGTCATCATCATCGGGACACCATGATCATCATCAGCAGCAACGTCAGCATCGTCAACATCATCAACATCATCGAGACACCATCGCCATCACCACCATGGCCATCATCGTCACCATCAGCATCATCAACGTCGTCAACATCATCATCATCGGGACGCCATCATCATTACCACCATCACCTTTCATCATCACCATCAACTGCATCGAGATCATCATCATCATCACCATCATCATCATCATCATCATCATCATCATCACCATCATCATCATCATCATCGGGACACCGACGGGACACCGGCGGGACACCGGCGGGACACCTCGCGGCACCGAACGCCGGAAGGGAATCATTTGGTTCGGCCGCGCCTCAGCCACGGCGGGAGACCGGCGGGACACCGCGCGCCACCGGTTGCCGGAAGGGAGTCATTTGGTCCGGCCGCGCCTCAGCCACAGGAGATTTTCCTCTCGCCCGCCCACGCAGCTTCGCCTCGCCCGCACGCACGGCACGCACGAACACGAAACCGAAACCGATTTTCCGGTAGGGGGGCTCTCCGTTCCACTTCGATCTCACCCCCTCACCTCCGGTCTCTAAAAATGAAACCTATGAGCAAATATGTACGAGCACATATTTGAAGCACTTTCTCAACCCTCCTTGGTTGGGAACTCGTTTTGAATAGGGCAACGCGGTCGCGTCTCCCTCCTCCTCCTCCTCCTCCTCCTGCCTCCTCCCGCCTCCTCCTGCCCTCTCTTCGCCGTCGCTGGGGGGCTGCGAAGTGCGAAGCTGTCGCCACTTTCGAGTGCTGCTGGTGGGTCCAGCGGAGTGAGGCACCGCGCAGACCTGAGGTAGACCTCGCCGTCTTTGGGGGGGGGGCTGCGGTCTGCGAAATTGTCGCCACGTTCGAGGGCGGCTGGTGGGTCCTGCGGGGTGAGGCATTGCGTGGACCTGAGATAGACCTCGCCGTCCCTGGGGGCAGCGATCTTTGAAATTGTCACCATTTTCGAGGGCTGCTGGTGGGTCCAGCGGAGTGAGGCACCGCGCAGACCTAAGATAAACCTCGCCGTCCTTGGGGTGGTGGGTGGGGGCTGCAATCTGCGAAACTGTCCACTTTCGAAGGCTGCTGGTGGGTCTAGCGGAGTGAGGCACCGCGCGGACTCGAGGTTGACCTCGCCGTCCTTGGGGGGCTGCGATCTGCGAAAGTTGCCAATTTCGAGGGCTGCTGGTGGGCCCAGCGGAATGAGGCACCTCGCAGACCTGAGGTAGGTTTCGAGTGCTGCTGGCGGGTCCAGCGGGGTGAGACGCCGCGCAGACCTGAAGTGGACCTCGCCGCCCCTGTCGTTGGCCCTCGCCGCTTCCATCGCAGGGGTGCGGCCTTCTTCCTGCTGGTCCCCCGCCTCAGCTGTCTCTGGGCCGCCCTCTCCCTGCCCCCCCGCCCGTGGTGGCGCTTCCGCCGCTTCCACGCCCCTGCCTCGGCCCTTGTCGGCGCTTGGCGATCCGGAGCCTACTCCGTTGAGCGCCTGCATGTCGCTGTTCGTCGTTCTCTTCGGCTACGTCACGGCGGTATTCGAGTACGTGGCCTTTTTATGAACTTCGCCATTTTGGCGCTGCACTTCGACCGGTGGCTCTTCCTGGTCCACCGCGTCTCCTGAGCTTCAGCGTAGCCCGCTCCTGAGTGCTCTTGTGCGGAATTTAGGCCGTTGCTTGTTCGCCGCGTTTCTGGACGGCGCCTGGCACCTCTGCGCGCTCGCGAATTAAAAAATATCCCCACCAGCCCATTCAGAAGCCCTGCCCACGAGAGCTGACGAGAAAAGGGACGCAGGGACACATCTAGGGGAACAAAGCGAGCACCCAGGATTAACCGAGAGACTTCTGGGAGCGAGGGGGTGGCCTTGGAAGGCCTCTTCGGGCCGTCCCTGGGGGCCGCGCGGGGGCGAGGGGGAGAGGGGGGAGAAAAAGGAGGAGGAGGTGGAGGGATCCAAAGAGTGCGATCCCTGGTGCTGCTGCTGTTGGTGGTGCTGCTGATGTTGTTGCTGCCTGTGCTGGTGCTGCGGCTGGTGGCCGGGAAAGTCTGTTGGGGCCATCTAGGAGAGAATCGATCAAAAGATGTGTGGTCCTCGATGTCGGCCCCCTTCCCATGGGCCTTCAACATCGCCGATTGGAGCTCTCATGGGGCTCTTTGGGTGGGCAGTGGAGCTCTAGCGTCACTATTTTAAGGGTATTGGGGCCCTCTTGGGGCTCTCTTGGGGTCCTCTTGGGAGCCTTGGAAGGCC